TCTCTTCGATACTCCATATTGAAAGCTGCAAGTTAAATTTGGCGTTCAAGCCAATAACATTTTCGTAAATGATGTAAATTCCGGAAATGCTGAGAGAGTGCCAGAAAATATTAAGTTCGAGGCATTGAAATATAAATGCAGCTACTTACAATTCAGAAAATATTCCACCACTTGCAAATGCTGCAGAAGTCGCATCGAAATAAATCTGTACAGGCAAATCTTCATTAGATTGAAACAAACAATTCAAGCCTCTAACTTTTGGCAGAATGAAAAATGACGAGCTTATAAATTAAAAATCGAATCAGATCATTTGGGAATTTCTATAAATAACGCTTCCTTCACTCTCCATGGTTATTGCCTTATAGCGTAATTCATGTCGTTGGAAAGAAACCAAATTGGAAAGCACTCCTGTCCCAGTGGTAGTTTCGAGAAAATAAACAGAAGGAAACGCTGTGAGACCAAGAAAAGGGCGAAACTGAGAAATTTTAGATCAGTATTTTTCCAACTTGCCAAGGACAAAAATGATTACGACAAGTGTGCGTCGATGCACAAAAATTAAAAATAATCTTTAATTCTAAATTAAAATGAACAAAACTTATATTATTGAATATTATAAGAGATTTATTTAAAATATAAAATAATTTTTCTACTTTGCATGCAAGACAAACATGAACTAAACCCTATTTTATTGAGCCGATCTAATAAAGAACTTTGCACGTACTGAGTTCCGGATTTATTTTTAAAGTAGGATTTTGTTTGTACAGCGTAGCGAGAAGCATTATTTTCTTCATTTTACCAGGACGTTTATTGACTGAAAAATCATTTTTTTTTAGTTTTTTGCTTGTGGATTTTGATGGTTCTCTGAATACTGAAGGAGTACAATGGTACTGAATGATTTAATAAATGTGCTTCATAATATGTTGAAATAAAGGAACAAATACGACTCAAGTTGCAATTTTCCCATGAAAAAAAGCAGTTAAATAGTTGTTGAGCCAACCAAATTGATCAAAATAATACTGAAGTGTGTAGGCTGCTGTAGGCATAGCTTATCACCGACTTGATTTCACTACATCTCGCCTTTTAAAGCCAGACGGCAAAAGCAATTTTATTCACAGATACTCGATACTGGATTTCGAATATATAAGAGTCATGTTTGGTTAGGGTGGAGTTTAAAAATACCCACACATAAAACACATTTTATTGGACAGGGAACAGGGGCAGCCAAATTTGATTAGATACAGACTGAAGAGCTCAATATACAGTATCACAGGCAATGTTCAATGAAAAAAGCACGAGACTTTTCCCTGCAGATCGAACAATTTGCCAATTACAAGTTATCAACCTGAAACATTAGCACAAAGATTTATGTGCCTCTGGAATTTAATTCCTGTATTTATTACAGGTAGCTGACGTATATGAAGCGCGGTCATCGAAAATGCGTGAAATATTTAGTTTGCTTATCTCGGAAAGCTAAACAAGATGGAGCAAATTCTGCCGATGATTTCAAGAAACCGCAAATTTTTGGTCAGTGTGTGAAAAGTTAGAAGAATTGGAGAGTTAGAACTATTAGAAGCAAACTTTTTTGCATATTTTACACGTTTAAATACAAGAAGAATCAAAATAAGGAAAAGTTTATTAGAATTTAATAATGAATAGAAAATTATAATTGATTTTCATTTTAGGCTTTAAACAGCATACTAAGAAAAGCGCGGTTACAAGTGATAATTACACACATTTGATTTAGTATTTAGCAAACATTTTCAGATCACGATTTATTAATGATGTTGTCTTTTCTGTACCTATTAAACACCCTTAGACAAAATCTACAGAACGGTAACGCCAACTTTGAATCACTCAGTATTCAGTTGTTATGTTGGTTTATAGTTAAAACTGCTCTTTTAATATTTATAATGCCATCGAGGGCTAAAACCGGCAATAATACAATTTCTAAATCTTTCTAGATTTCCAGCTATCTAGTGGTTTCTTTAGTGAGCAATAAAATAAATGTATACATATATTCATATACATCATCAATACACGGCAATTCCCCAGTTTTATGTGATGGAATTGTCTCGCCATACTACTAATTTACTTAATACAGACAATAGTATTACTGCGTAACATGTTATGAGGATCTTTTATTGCCTATAGATAAATTGGATTAGACCACAAACAGTTAAATCGCCCACGCCGGAGCGGAAAATCTTCAATATGCGACTAAATTAAATGGAACGCCTTTCCATGGTCTCCCTTGTAATGCCATTTTCCACGAACAGGTTGCAACCTTTAATGGCTCTATTTAATGGCCCCGTATATTGTATAAGTAGCTTTTGAACCTCTAAAAGTTTGGCGATATTGAACTGTTCTGGCTCCGCCGCTTGCTAATTAAAATACATTGGCGAATTAACGCGCCTCAATTTTGTCTTCAAGGAGACAACGGCGTTATTCCATGTTTAAGCAAACCTTTACAGCATAATAGTAAATTTAGAAGGCTAATTTGGTAAAAATTAATTTGTTTTGTAAAATTTGAAAATACCCAGATGCAACCAATGAGATCCACATTTATGACAATGATTTTAAGAAAGCTTTAGACAAAGTGCGACATGGAAATTAAATAAAAATCGATAACGAATTTGATTGTGAAATCCAAATCAACTGACGAATGAAACATGTTCGTGCACTATCGCTGGTTCTGGCTCTTGATGGAAAAATTTTAGTGTAACGAGCTAGACTTAAACTAATCATCAAAAAAACAAAGGACACGACAATTTACAAATGAACAAGAATTGTTAACCTTTGAAGGAAAACATCTGCAACCGGTATAAGAACAAACAAGTAACAAACAAACAAGAGAAGGAAGATTTTGAACATAAATAGCAATAAACCCGTTTGCAAAACAAAGAAATGGTTTGTTTCTGGGACTAGGAGGTAGAACACTCCGATGTTGTTAATACACGAATAAACCGTTATTCCATAGAGCAACGTTGAGGAACTGAACATTGGAACAACAACATCTAATCAGGCTGCAATTCTTGGAATTGTGGATTTCTTGAAGAATACATGATAATTTATGGTTTTCTCAAGGCAAAGCAACCCTTCTCTGGGTTAATAGTTAAAACCACAGTTTCAAAAAGTGCCATATCTGAACACATTATGTGATGAAATTGTGACAAGTCAAGCGCAATTATGTAAAAAACAATAAAACAAAAACGTAAAAAAAAACGTTGTGGTTAATTCGTGACCGTGATGATAAGCTATCATCAGAAACTAAAATTCACTATTGAATCGGAAAATGATTACAAAATCCCATTTCTTGACACACTACTCATTAGAGAAAACAGTCCACTTTTAATTGATTGGAACCATACCAAACCTTTTCTGAAATATTTTTGAACTCTTATTCAAAACATACTATGAAAATAAAGATGAACATAATCAAGAATTCGAAGAATAGAGGTATTGCACTTTCAAGTTCACAATTCCGTCACAGGAATATCAACCTGATTAGTGAGTAATTAATGACCTATTAAAGAGCAATTAACCACTATCTCTAATAAACCAGAGTCTAAATTACATTTCAACAGAAAAAAATTTAACAAAGTATCGTTAAAATTTTAAGCCATCAGCCACAACTAGCAAAAGGAATTGAGAAAATAAAACTATTTTATTATTGGGGGTAATACCACGAGTGCTTTGAAATTACCGATAATTTTTCACGATCGCATGTTGTCCATAATTTCACGAGTCCGATGGACGAGTGAAATTTGCAAGGAAAACATGCCAGAGTGAAAAATTATATGGTCAATTTTAAAGCTCTCGTGGTATTTAGTGAGATTATTTCTCATATTATTATTTTATTAGAAATAAATCAATAGTATATATCATAATATTTAACAAGAAACTCATTTATTAATGGAATAATAAAAGTTACAGTTATGGTAATTATTTGTCACATTTGTATGCTTCTCAGCAGATGTAGACGTTGAGGGGCCGCTGGCAGATAGTTGAGGTTGAATTTCGCTCGTTTCTCGCATTTTTTCTACTAGATCTATATGGTGTTCCTCATCCATCTGTAGATAGCTGGAAAGTGATTTCGCACTTGAATGGCCAGTCATTTTGATCAAGTTTTCAACGGACACACCGCTTTTGGCCAATTTGAAAACCGCCGTGGCCCTTAATGTTTTGTAATTTTTTTGTCACTCTTAAGTCCCACTTGTAGTGCCTGGTTTTTAGTCCATGTCAAGATCTGGTTTGGTCCTACGGGACTGTTTTTGTACCAGTGTCCAGTTTGTTTCCAGTGTGGATTGACCGTCAGAAAAAGTCGTTGGCATTTTGTTTCTCCTCGT